TTTAATAAACAAGGACGGATTCAAGGGTGCAAGAGTAATGCATTTTTGTTCCTTGTAAAATGAATATGTGTTTTTAAGGCCATCATACACAACGTTCCTATCATATTGCCAAGGCCTCCCCAATAATAAGCGGCATACATCAATGGGAGTGACATTACTCATAACTCGATCTTGGTAGTTCGTCCCAATTGAAAATGATATGAGAACTTGTTTGGTTACCTTAAGATCACTTCCCTCATTGAGCCATTGAAGCTTGTATGGTTGGGGATGCTTAGACATTGGAAGTTTCAATTTGTCGATCAAGGTTGTCGATGCGACATTGGTGCAACTCCCGCCATCAATAATCACCATACACTCCTTCTTGTTAATTGTGCAATGGGTGTGGATGATGTTCTCTCTTTGCTCATCCGTGTTTGGAGAAATTATGGTGTGTAATGCTCTCCGGATAACAAGCAACTCGTCATCATTAGTTTTTTCCACAAACTCCTCATTCTCTTCATATTTGAAACCATTCTAGCTAGAATTGTTCTCAGCCTCTTGAAGCTCTAAATTGATCTTCTTAATGTCTCGAAGAGTCATTACTCTCTGGTTGGGACAATTAGCTTGCAAATGCCCATAGCCATGGCAGTTGAAGTATTCCTACCTACACCATCAGTCTTCTTGGGGACTTCTTTGACAAGCTCCAACTTCTCTTTCTCTTTTTTCGAAGTATTTTTTAGTCTTGCTTGAGGAACCACCCTTAAAGTAAGATGTTCTCTTTGTCGAGGTTTTGGAAGGAAACCTTCTGCTGCTCTTCAATTGCTTTTCAGCCTTTATCGCCAATTTACATATGTCTTCAAAGGACCAATAAGGTTTAAATTCAACCAAATCAGCAATTTCCCAATTCATGCAGCCGAGGAATTGAACGATGGTTTGCTTCGGAACTTATGGTACTTCGTACCTCATCTTGAGTTGTTCAAACTCCCGAATGTATTCTTCAATGCTCATCCCTTATTGGTTTAGGGATTAAACTTGAGGAACAATTCTTGCCTATAGCTATCGAGCAAGAATCTCTTCTTCATTAGTTTCTTGAGTTTGTCCCAAGACTTAGATCTTGCGTTTTCCTCACTAAAGCGTTGATGTTTTATATTCTCCCACCAAAAAGAAGTATATTTCGTCCATTTTAGGACAACAACCTTCACATCTCACCCGAGTATGACTTGAAGTCAAAAACCCGTTCGATTGCATACAGCCAATCGATAAATTCATCTAAATTGAGACTACCCTCAAATTAAGGAGACTCAACTTTGATTTTATGATCATTCTCCTTATGCCTCCCTCTTCTCCTCTGGACTCGATATTCTAAAGTTCTAGTATGCTTCAAGTGGAATCGAATTCGTCACCAGAACTTCGACGAGAATCTAAATCATCACGTCGATGTCAATCATTAGGACATCTTTCCAATTGTCCTTGTCTCACTGGATCTTTCAAAAATTGAGGACTCGCTCCATTTTGTTATTGTAGATTTTCTATATAATGGTCTCGCATTTCGTTGCGTGTTTGCTCCAAGGTCAAGTCTCTTGGAACTGGGTCATTCATTTTTAGAAAAAGATGAATAACATAATGAATCACTCAAACGAGTTCATCTTTGTGCACTCTAATACCAACTTGATGCGTGCGTGGGACGAGTGATTCCGGAAATGGGGGATTTCTAGTTAAGTGTATGGAATGGGCGTAATAAGTCATAATGGAATTATATGTAAATGATGAAGGATGTAGGAGGTTCATCACCAAAGCGTAAAGGTATAAGCCATCAGCTTAGGATAAAAAACTGTTTGATTTAACGCCAACAACGTTGAATAAAGAACCGGAATAAATATTTACTCACTTAGAGGAATTATCATATGAATCATCAAATCTGCATTATAATTGAGAACTTTCCTATATTTATAGAGGGACTACGATATAGGAAATAGACAAACATTAAAGAGACATGAGGGCTCCCCAAAAATTAAAGACATGAGAGCTAGAAAGCAATTAATGGCCTAGGAACTAAGAAAATGCATTAGTGACATGGAGACTTGAAATATTGACTCTTCATCCTTGCGGTTGATCTTCCAAAATGGTTCCATCTATTGAGAAAACCTCCTAATATATTTTGAAGTTGGCAAAACTATCCAAGAGCTTTTATAAGTCTGACAAATTCTTTTGAAGAATTTCTAAGTCCAAGAAGTAATTTTCTTGAGATCCAGACTTTACAAGGATCAAAAGGAGAAGTCTAAGTTCAGCACAAGCAAAAGACAAAGTTCAGACTTTGTGTACGGCAGTTGAAGAATTTCAGTTTATATTGAAAACAAAAGATTCAGAGATTAAAGAACAAACCATTCTAACTCAAATTCTGAAATGCGAGTTAAGGATCAGACTTTATCCAGATGTTATCACAAACTCAGAATAATGGCTAGTAATCTAGCTTGAATTTCATCATTGGAAAGGGCAAAAGGACACCAGAAGTGCCATAACTTGTGTACGAGATCACTTTGGTGCCGTAAATTTTTTTCGGATCACTTTGGTGTCAAATCGGAGGAAAATAGATCACTTTAGTGACTCCGGCCAAAAAGCTGACCTGACATTTATATTAAAAAAAATGGTCTGACTTGTACACGTTGAAATTAGGTGGCTTTTTTCAAATCTTTTAATTTTTTGATTAAAAAAAAAAAAACGTTGCAGCAGCGGCGAGGGAGCCCTCGCCGCTGCTGCCGCCAACCCACCACCGCCGGGAAGGGCCGGCGGTGGTGGGCGGAGTGGTCGGCGAGGGCCGGATCCGGCGAGGCGAGACCTCGCCGTCGCGACCCAGGCGACGGCGAGGTCTCGCCTCGCCCAGCAAAGGCGAGGCCAGACCTCGCCGTCGCTCGGGTCGCGACGGCGAGGTCTCGCCTCGCCAGATCCAGCCCTCGCCGGGTCTCGCCGAGGGTCGCCGGGCCCCGGCCAGGGGCCGCAGACCCTCGCCGACCACTCCGCCCCTTCCTGGCGGTGGTGGGTTGGCGGCAGCGGCGGCGAGGGCTCCCTCGCCGCCGCTGCAACATTTTTTTTTTCTATATAATTTTAAAAAAAATTTCTAAAAAAGTACACGTCAGCGGGCTAAACGACGTCGTTTTTTGTTTTTAATGCTGACTGGACCTCTCCGGCGAGCCATGTCAGCGCCACATCGGATTTCCGGCGAGCCACGTCAGCATTGGCACTAAAATGATCGTTTTTCAAAAAAGTTGACACCAAAGTGTTCCGAAAAAAAGTTATGGCACCAAAGTGATCTCCATACACAAATTGTGGCACTTCTGGTGTCCTTTTGCTCATTGGAAAGTATTGATTGATTTGATCTTAAAAGGCTATTTTGCAAAGAATATTTATATCTTGAAATATCCTTGATTGATTGATAATCAAACCCACGACAAGTTTATTTTCAAATGAAGAAGCTCTGCTTATGGAAACCGAAGTTACGGTTGTATGGCCGACCGGAATCAGCGGGATTCAAATTTTGTCACTTTACGACTACTCAATCCTTGTTATACAAATCTGTCCAAGGTGAAGATTGGAAAATGATCCTCTGAAGATTGTCCAACAGCTAGTTTGAAAGTAGAGGAGTATAAAAGGAGACAAATTGTCAAGGAGCAGAAGAAGAGAGACGATGTACAGAATCATCTATTCCAAAGTTTGAGCAAATTTTGACCAGTATAACTTGTCTTTCTTAAGCTAAAACCTGTGATAATGAGAGATTTGCTGCAAGAGTGATTGAGTGAAATGGAGTGATCCATCTTTCGCAAAAAAGTCATCACTCAGAACTTGTAATCTCTTGATTGATCATTTAGTGAAATCCGGCCAGTAGGCTATCAGTGTGGGAAAGTGAACGTAGGTTTAATCTAAGCCGAACCACTATACATTTGTGTGCAAATTTTCTATTCTCTAAAATTCCTTTTATTTATTTAATTGCACATTTATTTGTTTGCCACTCAAAGATTGATCAAAATATGAACATTGTTCAGACTTTACTTGAGATCAATTATTTCCGCTTTAAATTGATCAAAAAGTACTCAAATCACCTATTCACCCCCCTCTAGGTGATCCTTGCTAGCCATCTCACCACCAACCTTGACCAGGAAATATTCATCTTAGGAAATCGACAAATATCAAAAGAAATTGCTCGGAATAACCTCCCATGGATATGTTGTTGATCCGTGCCGGAAATCAGCAATTAGTTTTGGTGAAACGGAACTTAATTGTTAAAGTCAAGAATCAACTACTCCTTAAAAGATCACTTGGTTGACAAACATCATGAGGATAACTTTATTTTCAACCCACTGAAGCAAGCTATGACCAAAATTTGTCTTGACTTGAATAAACATCGGTTGTGTTGGGCTTGTCGACGTGATCAAGTTTGAACTTACAGATTGTTCGATTGAATAGGATGCTCCCGCATCAAAAGGGAACCCCAATAATTCTGGAATATACTTTGTTTTGGCTTCAAAGCACCCAAATCACTAAAAAAATAAAAATAATTGCACCGTAAAACTGCAAAATCCTTGCTCAGCCTGGTTATACATCAACCTATCCTCAAATACAGAGAAGCTCTTCCAAATTGGTTTACTACGAACCGATTTCAGATTCTGCATCTTGGTATTTAATATTAGAAACCTAAGATACATTGCAACAGTTTATTGAAACGAATAACTTTAGCATCTCAGAAATTTGTGTTTGTATGAATACGAGCCATTTGTTCCCCCAATATTGATTGAAGTTATCATACAATATTGCCTTGTCCCTGCTGTGAAAATGCAATCTTGAAGATTACCAAATGTAATTTATTCGAGCAAAATATACATAGAGTTTGCAAAGAACACCACCGCAATCTCTTTCTTCAACTGAAAATTCTCGCCTACGAAGACATCTTGATCGAAACAAGAAACAACAAATTTCTTACCATGAAATTTCAAAAGCCCTAAATATGCACTCGACAACCTACATTTACCCTACATGTCGCTGTACGACCTCAGTAGTTCGTCCAACAAATTATCGTCCAGAGACTCGAACTCGATCACATCTCTGGATGGCTCTGCCGGAGCTGACACAGTGGATGATGACGAACCAGCTAAAGAGTACAATGATGACAACGACAGAGATGGGGATGCTGAGAAAGAACTGCAGTGGCCGGAGACATAGCGGTCATTCTGAGCGTAGTATTGTTGCTCGTTGGGGAAGTTGAGGATGGCCAAATGGCCTTGGAAGGCGAAGGCAGCCCGGTCATAGGCACGGGCAGCCTCCTCTGCCATTTCAAAGGTCCCGAGCCTGAGGCGGGCGCCGTTCCTCGAGTGGTCCCAGATCTCGGCTGCGAACTTGTCCCAATGGCGCCTCCGGATCCCTCGGTAGCGGGGTGGAGCACATCGTGACCGCAATCCCCTCTTCTTCCTGGTCTCTTCGTTGTTCTCATTGTTCTGATTCCCTCTTGAAGAAGACCCTTCCATGGCCGAGTGACTTATATCAAATGAGGAAGTGAAGAGTATGATGATCTGCGAGTAAGCTTTTTTGGTAAAACTTTAAGAATATGGATTTCAAATTTGATGGCAACAAACAGATGATGGAGGCTGTTGGGTATATATATATATAGGGTTTGGTGAGAATAGATAGGAGGCGTTGAAAAGTTCACGGGGACGGTCGTATCTGACGGTGGAGGATTTTATGTTTGTCAAGTCGTTTTGTAAGAAAGTTAGGAGAGAGACCAAATGAATTTGAGCAACTTGAGGCTCAGAATGTCTATTGGAATTCCGATTTGACGAACCCCAGGTGGTCGGCCTTGTTTTCAAATTAGGTATGATTGCTATGTCTCAGACATGTTTATGTATTGTCGGCCCGGGTAGGACCAAAGTCAGATACGTGTGCATGACTCACTGGATGAGGTAGCAATCTTGAAACTCGTTAGTGCAATCGGCCTTGATTTGTCATCTATCGTCCTCTTATATTGTGTCCTTTAAGTAAGGGGTGGAAATCATCTATCATCCTTTTATATTGTGCCTCGATTTGTATTGAAATACTGAAGATGTCAACATTTTATCCAATTTAATTGCGATTTTCAAAAGAGTTACCGTTACATGCCTTTATCGTATATCACAAATTCCATACTATCTCGTTTAACGGTGATGTGGTGGACAGGATCACAATCCCTATACAAGAAAATTGTATCTGTATAAATAGGTGGTTATTCAATAAGGAAATGTGTGCGTGTCTTGATCCCAAACTTGTTTCATAACAGTTTGTAGGTTAGTATATGTATTACAGACATTTTTTTAGCGGAATTTTGTGCGACTAACGGAAAAGAGAGATAAAAAGTGAGATCAAAATAAATTTACTATATAATAATCCTTTGATGAAAAGAGAGATCACGAGTAATATCTCTCAATAGCGTCAATATTCAAAATTTGAGTTGTGACTTGCAAGATTTACGGTAAGAGTTTTGTTTTTTTCTTATAAATGGGCGAGTTCCCGACTAGAATTAGAAACTGGACCAAAACCCGCCAATAAGGAATCGAGGGACTGCTGCTTCAATTCCCTATTCCAATTTTTGAAATCGTGGATTATGGGGTCGGTTCTAGTTCTAGATCAGGATCCAAATCACTCTAGCACCGAATATCTCCAGTCATAAGTTCTTTATCATGTCTCATTTACTACATGTGACGACGATTCTATGACAAAAAAGAGAAAATGACACAAATAATCCCTGAACTTTAGCCTAATGTGCAATTTAGTCTCTGAACTTTTAATTTGTTCAATGTAGTTCTTCAACTTTAACCCAATGTGTCATATGGTCCCCAAATTTTCAATTTGTTCAATTTGGTCTCTGAACTTTTAATTTGTTCAATTTAGTCCATAAACTATATGAAAATATTCAATGTAGTCCTTCCATTAATTCAAGTTCAGGAACTATATTGAACATTCTTATATAGTTCGGGGACTAAATTGAATATGTATCGAAAGTCCAAGGATCAGATTGAACAAATTGAAAGTTCAAGGATTACATTGAACATTAGGCTAAAGTTCACGAACTACATTGAACAAATTAAAAGTTCAAGGACTATATTGCACATTTGACCAAAGTTCGGGGACTGTTTATGCTATTATCTCGACAAAAAAAGAAAAAAAAAACATAGGCGTGAGGATGACACAAGCCTTATCCATGCTGACGTGGTCGTCCTTGTCCAGTCATTTTGTGGGAGCGCCTCAAAGCACACAAATGGCCGACTAATTGGAATTTCTCTGGGGGTCCCAATGGGACCATTTTTCTAATATACAAGAATATGTTCTAATGTTGTGGTTCCATGGAAATCATATTAGATATCTGTGACATAATCGCTCGGCACTCATGACGTGGCGCTGGGGGACGTGACGGAATCATATTGTCACTCTTCCACTGCATCGAACTATATTCACTAGAGGTCTCTGAAGTAACTCTCTCGCTTGGAAGAGATGGCCTCTACCCCTCATGGTGGTAGAAACCCTAATCCCCAAAACCCACCTTAAAACCTAATCCTCTAATACATTTTCTCTGTTCTTCATCCTTCAACCTCCTCCCTCACCTGTGGCGGTTGCTCTGGCTGTTTCTTTTTCATTGAAGGTGTCGTTAGCTCTCCTGGATTGTAGCAACACCAAAGATTTTGGTGAGGACCTTCTACTCTCTACAACTCACGGATCTCCTCACGCACTCACCTGCAAGAAACTATGGAGGAACAGAGGTTAGTGGAAGCTCGCCTCAATCTGATTTGCCGGAGCCTAGGTAACCTTTGGTCCGAAAACAAATTAGCAGTGATGGATGATTCTGTTACGGAACGGCAAATGATGAATTGCCATCTCACACTGTTTGGGCAACTGTTCTCAAAACCAGATATCAACATCCAAGCTTTTCTGAATACGATGAAGAAGGCTTGGCGCCCGGACGATTTCTACTTTAAACAAGTTAATCCAGGAGTGTTTGCCTTCACTTTTAAATCTGAAACTGATAAGGAAAGGGTGTTAGAGTCGGGACCAGGGTGCTTTGCTAACCATTTATTAGTATTGAAGCAATGGGAAGAAAATATCCACCCCCCCCCCCCCCCCGCCCCCCATCGCTACCCCTTCTCACATTGTTCTTTTTGGGTTCGAATTCACGGACTACCTTATGAATTATCCACAGAGAAGGGGCTATGTACTGCGGCATCTGTCCTGGGGTCTGTCGACGTGATTCAGGTTGATGATAGAAGCTTCACAACATCTAGAGTGGACAAGGTAAGGGTAAATCTAAAACTGGATGACCCTCTTTTACCAGGTACCATTATAAGTTTTAAAGGGCAGAAACACTGGGTGGATTTTAAATACGAAAGATTGCCACATTTCTGTTACTCATGTGGGCGAATTGGACATTATGCCAAGCATTGCAAGATAGTCCCCTTTGATGAGGATAAATTTGAAGCATGTATAGATGTGAAGTTCGGCCATTGGTTGAAAACTGAGGTGAATGAGTATAGTCCGTACTGGAAACTCTTTAATGGTGAAAGGGATGAGGAAGTGTTTGAGGAAGAAATTGTTCCACAATCTCCTGCTTTGCTCTCGCAGGTACCTTTGACCCAGGTGAAAACATTCACAGCCTTGACAGGGAGAACACTCAAAAGGAGACAATAAACAGAGGCAACTTGGACAAAGGAAAGTCCCCAACACAGTATCAGGGACAAGCTAAAAGCCAGGGACCTGTCCTGTTACTCACTGGTTCAGGAAATATTCGGGCAGACCAGATTCCTATTCCAGACATGTTGAGGGTTGGAAATCTAAAGACAAAGCCAAAGACCTTTAAGGTCTCAGGTAGCAAGAAATCAAGACGTCAAAAGATTGACCCTATTGCATTAGATGAAATGATGCTTCTGGACACTCCGATCTGGGAATTCCAACGACTGGGCTTTGGTGGCTAGCCCGAATAAGCCACCGGGGGACAAATGAAGTTTATATGTTGGAACTGTTAAGGGTTGGGCACATCCTTGACAGTCCAAGAATTGAGAGCCTTAGTGGCTCAAGAAAGGCCTACCGTTCTATTCTTAATGGAGACAAAAAACCAGGAACTAGTAGTACAAAGGCCGAAAAGGAGACTGAATTTCCAAAACTTATTTGTGGTGAACCCAGTAGGTACTGTAGGGGGGTTGGCTCTTTTTTGGAATAATGAAACTTCAATCACAGTTGATATGGCTACGCAGGAGTTTTTGGATTTGACGTGTAAGGATTTGGTTTACAGAAACACCACCAGAGTTACTTTCGTCCATGCCCCAACAAACTTCAAACAAAGGGTTTGTGACATCCTCAAATTTGGCATTTGGGATTTATGAAATGAGTGGTTTTATGAACGTACTTGTAGCTAGGTCTCGCTCGGAATTGATCATTCCTGGGATACTAACCATTAGGGAATGGCTAATTAGGGATTTAAATTCGTGCGACTAAAGAAATTCGATCGTGAACTGACTTTCAACCATAGAATCGTCGAGGTGACATTTTGAGCCAATGTAGGCCGATTTTAGGATGGTTATGGGTCAGTTCGTCATTGTCATACGAGTGGATCACGGGTGATTCCGTTTGACCACGAGGTGAGTTGACGAACGATCCAGAACCTATACCGAACGATCGCGCCCGTTGGAACTAGCGATTGATCCTCGCGATTACATTGACAACCGAGGTCGTCACGATCCGAACGAACTTGCACGTGACTTGATTTAATATCGGTTACGGGTCGAATATGCGAATTTCCCCAAAAGCCGTCCGTTAGTTCGAGACACACTCAAGTTACGTTATTTAAAATTCAGTTATTAAATTAGAGATCAATTTGGCCATGGAAAATTTAGGAAGTCACGACAGGACATTTGGACGACGTTGTTATTAGAGTGTTCAGTCTTGGATTGTCTCGATTCCTTCAAAAAAATTCGATTTCGGTGTGAAATGAGAAAGTGACCGTTTTGCCCCTAAGGCTTTTTAAAGGGTTAGTTTTATGAGGCAAGGGCGTTTTGGTCATTTGCCCCCAAAATTTGGAAAAGACACTTTTACCCTTGGACTTTTTGAGAAATTCCAAGATTACTCTTGGATATTTTGGATGAGATTCGATCTGGGCCGTCGGTTTCAAGATAAGATCGAATCTGGGCCGTCGGATGAAAAGTAGAGAGAAGGGCATTTTGGTCATTTGGCAAAAAGTTGGTCAAAACTTGGTTTTTAAGCCAAGACCTCTCTCTCTCCTCATTTCCTCTCTCTCTCATCTCATGGCATTTCTCTCCCTCTCCCTCACCCACCGAACCAGCTCCCTCCCCTCGCCGAGCAGCCGCACGCCGGTCACCGCCCGACCGGATCGCCACCGCCGCTTGCCGTCGCCACCGCCGAGCCGCGCCACCGCGCCGATCGCACCCGTTTCACTCTAGCCGCGTGAGTCTAGAGTCGGGTAAGTCGCAATCTAACCCTTACCTAGGAC